CTTTCTACGTTTGCATTATGAGTTGGTATGCAGAAAAAATATTGTGCTATCTTCAATAATTCAGTGCATGTATGAGCATTCGGAGTTTTAAAAAATTTAAGCCAAAGTTCATTTGTGGTTAAATGCTTGTCTTGTCTTGTTTCGACTAAAGGTTTTCAAATTTATCCATTCGTCTATTAATTTTGTGTCATCAATTTCGATGTTTCTGTCTTGTAAAAATGAAATAGTGTTTAAAACGGCGGTCCATTTGGTATTTTCAGATATATTAGATAAAAACATCCAATCAAAACTTTCAAATTCATTCAATGGGTTTCATCCAGTTTTCTATGTAGGCTTTCATTTCTCTGTAAAATATCATACATTTGTTGCTAAGTTTGGGCAATTGTTATAAAAAACTATATAAAATCCGGACTGCTACGAAAAACCCGCCCGGACGCTCCACGACGCCTTTAAAACTAGGACAAATCCGGGGAAATCCGGACGGATGGCAACCCTACCTATAGTGACACTCGCTTATTTCTCAGAAACTGACCTTTATACCTTATTAATACTAATTAAAACGTTACGTATGTAGCTAATTAAAGAAGTATAATCTCATAATTCATATATTTGTTTTATTTATATACCAAATAAGTTAAAAACAAATTCTAAAAATCCGAGAAAAAAATTTTTACGATATTCTTTTGCAAATTGCGTTATTTAAATAATGATGATGACTGTACTATTGATAATATTACGATATTTTAAATGCTTATAGTTTCATAAGTTTTAGTTTTCTTTATATTAGTTTTCTTTATAGAATAGAATAAAACTTTATCCTGCAGAGTAGGTATATAAGCATTACTGTCTATTATGTCAACCTTGGAGCCCATTTTAACAGACCGTCATTTTTATTTATCTTACGGAAAACTTAATTATTGTAAAATTGCAAACAGTATTATAAAAATTGCTTGTACTATCTGATAGAAGACACTTTACGTATGTTCGCTTTGTACCGCACCTTTATTAATAATAAATCAGTTACTTTTCATGGTAATATATTATTATTAGATAAAATGGTTTAAATTTTTTAATATCCCTTTTTGAACATGGCTTGAACTTTTCATTTTTATGACATCCTTTTCGGATATCATATATACTTTTTAGAGTACAAATATATCACAAGTATATAAAAAAATGATTTAAAAATATTGTATAACGAAAGAGAGTGAAATACGACGAAAGAAAGGGGTGGTGGGGGTGGGAGGTGGAGGAGGGGAGGGAGGGATGAGGGGTTGCGGTCGGTCGAAGATGGTGAAGGTGTCAGTGAAAGGTGAGAGAGAGAGAAGAGAGGATATTAGAAAGTTTTAATACGGCCTTGAATGCGGACAGAACAGAAGAAGGAGACGTTTCTTAATTTTTTATTAAAATCACCACTTTTCGACCGCTTGTATCTCCAGAACGCCAGATTTTTAATTTTTTTTTAGCAATAATTACTCGTGACGATGCCTTTCAGGACATATAACGTTCGATTCAAAATATTTTGTATTTTAGTAGTTATGCACCCCCCAAAAATGGACTTTCGTGGCTCGGGATAAGAGACTTGAAGTGTCTTTTAGTTTTTGAACATGGCCGGAGACACTAAAATGTGTCTCCTGATAAACAATCTAATATGTTGTTAAATAATGAGAAATGTAAACAAGAAAAAAGGACATAGAGAAGATAGGGTAAGAGAAGGAATGTTATGTTATGGATATTTAATAGAATAAAGATTTATTTTTAGTTTTGACGTGGAACGGTTAACACAATATCTTTCAAATATGGACTTGCTTACTTCAAATGATCCATATTCTTGTGTAAAACCAGGTATTTTAATTACGGAATTTTGTGAGAATATAATATTAAGCATTTATATATAGTATGCTTTTCTTGACTGACTAGAAATATATAAAACGTAGGACAAGAATGGTTTTACTTGCATATTTTCGAAAAGTGAAACTGTCATGCATATTTTAGACATATTTTTTAATTACTTGATTGTATGACTTGCAGTATTATATCTTCTTATATATACAATAATATATATTAAATAATACAACGTTTTTAATACCTTTCGTAAAAACAATACGAAATTGTGTACAATATTATGTCTTTAAAAACGTTATATTATATTTCGTATATACTTTATGTTTAACGTATATTATATCTATAATAAGTATTTGAATATTTTTGGAACCTTTGTTTACCAATATCTTTTAATTATTAGATGATGCTAAAGTAGTTCATACCGATTTAGATTTAATCATCGATTTTGATGAAACAGTTATTTGCGGAAAGGCAGTTTTGTTCATAGAATCCAAAGCTGATTGTGACAGAATAGTTAGTAAACTTTTCCTTTTTTTGTACAGTTTCTCCATTTTTTGAAATAAATACATAATATCGAACAATTAGCTTTTAGATACCTACGGATTCCAGGAAGATAAGATAACTGTCAAGGACGATGTTACTGGTAATGCTTTAGTATATAAAATTAATAAATGTATTGATAATATTGGAAGTGAGGAATTTTCTATTATGTTACCGCGGACATTAAGAAATGATAAAAAGGTACATGTATATAAGTATGGCGTTGATAAGATTCATTTTCTGTATAAGTAAGTATAAAATCTTTTTCAAAAATTACAAATTTTAGAAAATATTGATACAAATATTTCATATGTATCACGATATACTATACAAACATTTTCAGTTATAGAATTCTGATTGAGTATGAAACGCGTAAAGATTCCCTTGCACTGTATTGGCTAAGAAAGGATCAAACTTCTAATGGCACATATCCCTTCCTATTAACTAACAATCAAGTAAGCTATAAACGTACAATACATGAACATTAAATTCTATTAATGTGTACAATATTAATTACTCGATTTTTAGTTTACATATGCTAGAGGCGTATTTCCTTGCCAAGATTCACCGCAGGTCAGATTTACATACACTGCTAAGGTAAGAAATTACGTAGATATCATTTGTATTGATTTTGCACACGCACGTATGTAATATTAATAAAAACCATTGGATACATGTGTGTGTGTACTATTCCCCACAAAGCGAATGAATCATCTACTAGGGATTAACGTTTGAAGTCGGTCCCGCATTTTCTCAAAATACACGGGTTTTGAGTTTTCTATTCCTAAACGTTCCTAACGGTTGACGCATAACTTCGTTAATTTCAAGAAATCAGTGAATTTCAGAAAATTTTGACATAAAGAAAGTTGTCAGCACATTGTTGTAGCACAATTTAGCACAACTAAAAAGATCAATATAATTGCCTCTACTTTATTCAGTGTTCGTCTCACATCAACTACACTTCTTATTTTTTTAATAAAAAATATTTTGGCGTGAAATATTCAAGTTTAATTTATTTTAGCAGACTTCATAATTAATAAATATTAGAATATTTTTAAGACCGCAATTGATAAACATCAACAAGAAGAAGGGAAATTACTGATTTTACAATTATAAATTTCTTCACTGAGAGAGAGGGAGTGAGATGTTGTTTAACGATAAAGTACTTTTTTATTATCGATATATAGATGACTTATGTGCGATTGTTTCTACATCTAATATTGAGTCGGGTTTTTGACAGCATTTAATTCTTTCCATCCACGATTTCAATTACTCTTGGAAGTGGGAGGAAATTCGTTGAATTTCTTAGATATCGCAATATGGTTATTAAAGAGAATCGGTTGATATTTAATTGGTATCATAAACCCACTTTTTCGGGTAAATTTTTGAATTTTTATTCTAGTCACCCATCTTCTCAAAAGAAGAGTGTTATTTTTGGATTAGTAGAACGTAACCGTATACGTTATATTATTTCTTCTAAATCGGTGATAACTGATCATAGATTACAACAGGGACATGACTTTGATTGGTCTTAAAAATATACGGGGTCTTAAAAAGGTTTTAGTATTTAATAATATATATCTTCCTATATTTTTGTAAAAACATTTATTATTTCAAGGTTTCGTTATTTTTTAAAATAATATCAATAATTATTAATCAAGCATCTCTGTGATAAAAATATTCCAGGTGATCGAAGTGCCTGTTCAGGATGGAACAGGAACTTTGTTCACTTGGAGTATTTTTACTATTTCTAGAAATATGAAAATAATTTAACTATAAAAAAGTTGTATAGCATCAAAAGAGCAACAATATATTGTCTAATGTAGCAACTTTATACATTGTTGATGATCAGTAAATAAGCTTTATCGACATTCCGTGTCTTTGTGAATTCAATTCGTTCGTTTCTTGATAAAGAGTATTTCAGAAATTAATCTTTTACTTAGATATGGCTCTTCTTATAGAATTCCGACAGCATCCAGGTTAAAAACGTGAATATAATGTAATCTGTGGTGTGTAGTGACTAACTTGTAATGACTGACTTTATTAAATTTATTCCATTTTTTAACATAAAAATTTTATTTCTTTAACAATTATTATTTAATTATATACAGAGGTCATCATATTTAGTTTTTATTAATTTAATTGTTTTTTCTAGATTTCTGTACCTAAAGCAATCAGAGTTATAGTGGGTGGACGTCAATGTAAAAGTATAATAAAGGGAAACCCAGACCGTTACACTCACTTATTTTATGAAACGAATCCAATGCCATCATATGCAATAATCATTGTGGCGGGTTCACTAAAGTCAATAGGTGGAAGATATTTTATGATTAAGCACAAAATCACTTTGTGGGCTGAGGAGAGACATTTTGCGCAAAGTGAACAAATATTGAGATTTTGTAGAAATGCCATCAACGCTACTAATTATCTATGTGGTTTTCCTATTCGAGGTAAATTAGTATTATAATATCGGTATAATTAAAATTAACATTTATAACTAAAAGTAACACTTAACAGTTATAACCAAAAGTAACACTTAACAAAATATTAGCTTATTAGAGGTAACATTTAATTGTAAGATGTTCGTTTGATATTAATATTAATGCCAACATGATGTGGATATAACCTTCCACACTAGCAGTGTTGATACAACACCAAGGAATATAAATCTACACTATGTTAATATTAATATTGTATAGTGATCACTAATTTTTACCGTGTTGGTGTTAATACTGTATGAATGCACTACTCAAGAAAGTTAAAGCATTATCTGCTTTACCCTGCAAAAATGGTCAAACTTTAAAATAGAACAACTTCGTCAAAAATTATTGTATCGAGATGTTAAAAAAAGCATTTTAAAGCTTGAAATCTGTATTCTTCCAGAACAATTATTTAACAAACCGTCTTACCGACATTTTATTAAATTACACAAACAGAAATAAATATGTCTCATATCTTAAGATTTTATGCGAAATTTGTAAGGTTGCGTGGCGCGAATTAAAAATTCTGTAAAAATGCAGTTTAGAGGTATCGAAAGATTTAAATTTTACCTTTGATTTATTTTTTTTGTAATCGTTGTACAATATTCTTTTTACCGAGTTATTCGATGTTGAAGCAAAAAATTTATTTTTACTTCAACATTGAATAACTCAGTGGTAAAGATCACAAAAAATCAAGTTAAAGGTAAAGATTCAGTCTTTCGAAAAATATGAACTGCACTTCTACACAATTTTTAGTTCATGCCGTGGAACTTCTTAAATTTCGTAAAAAATTTAGAGGTTGACGCATTTATGTTTATGTAATTCACGAAATTTCAGTAACACCGTCCTTTAAAGTACAGGTCTGAAAAGTAAAGATTTCAAGCATTAAAATGTTTTTTAAAAATTAAATATATGATACGATGATTTTCGATGAAGTTATTTTTACACAAAATTTACCTATTTTTGAAGGGTGGAATACGTAACGTTTTAATTTTGTTGAGTAGTGTAATATTAAATCTATCCGAAATTTTCAAAATTTGTTAAATTATTTCAAGTTATATGTAAAACAAATTCGTTAATTATCAGTCCTGTATTCTTAATCTTATTATTAATAAATGTATATTAAAAATGATAATTGTAGATGAATTCAATATATGTGTGCTTCCATCAAATATCCCAGAAATTGAACTACAATGTCGTACCATGATATTTGTGTCATCAACATTACTAGATGAAGATCC